GGCCGTGAAGAAGACGAACGTGTGCGGCGATGGGGCGCGTCTGACCCAGTAGTAGGGGACGCAGACCACGCCAGCAACGCCAAACCTCGACCCAATCTATATGAAGTATGATAGACGGCGCGGGACGCACAGGCGGCCGCCGGCGCAACGTTGATCCCACGCCCATACGGCTTCACGCCTGAACTGACAGTAATTAATGAACTAGCCTGAAACCAGCTCCGTCACACTATAAGCAAACCTCAACTGACGAGAGAGAAAGCGAAAACGAACGCTATATATATATATATATATTTAGCCTCATTATTTTAATGTAGTATAATATGTCTTAATGCAATCAAAAACAACTCCGTAAGAAGCAAATAGCGCCTTAAGCAAGCAGCAAGCAGCAAGCAGCGTACAACCGCGCTCACAGCGTCTAGCTTTGGTTTTATTTGGCGGGAGGAAGTCGCGCGAAATTATTTAAATAATTCCGCTTTAATCATTTATTTCTCTCTGGCTAGATGTTTCAGCCGAACGCAAAGATCTGTTATCGGCGGAGAAGCGATACCACAAGACACACTGAAGCCATGTCCACTAACGGGATGCCACTCTAAGAGAGAGGGAGGAATCATCGCTAGCAAGACGTACGGCGCACGCGCGGTAGACTCATATCCCCCAGCGTTGATGTGAATTTCGTCGTTAGAGATCGTCTGCGAAGGAGACAGCACAATGAAGCGACTGCAGCCACACGTCACGATGACGTCTGCGATGGGCAAGCCCGACGATGTACGATGAAAGCCGCCGACAGTGAAGCTTGAAAGAACTCTAGCTAATATTGTTCGTGAGTGCTTGCGTGCGTGCGGGCGTGCGTGCGTGTGCATTTAACACTTAAATCTCTTACTGCTGCTCCTGGCGATCACATTCCAAGGAAGCGAACTGCTTCAGCGAGAGGGAGAGAGAGAGGAGAGAGAGAGGAAGAGGGAGAGAGAGAGAGAGAGAAAGCGGCAGCGTGTGCGACGCAGCATACGTGACGCATCATACGTGACGCAGCGTATGTGACGCAGCGTACGTGACGCAACATACGTGACGCAGCGTATGTGACGCAGCGTACGTGACGCAACATACGTGACGCAGCGTGCGTGACGCAACATACGTGACGCAGCGTGCGTGACGCAGCGTACGTGACGCAGCGTACGTGACGCAGCGTATGTGACGCAGAGACATGGAGCTGCTATTCAGGGACGTGACGCTGAGTCTGAGCCAGCAGACGATTCTGAACGGAGTGAGTGGATTCTGTCGACCGGGTGAGATGCTGGCCATCATGGGACCGACCGGTGAGTTACCATAACAACCGCAATTATTATTATAACTGCCACTATAGTCTCTCTGTCTTTCATCTGTGATAATCGCAGCACTTAGACACGAAGCGTTTTTGACAAGGATGTGTTATCACGGCTGTATAGTAACTAGTTCACTTTCTTTGTGACGAGGGTGGCGCCACAGAGCGGCAACCGTCGAGGCAGCGGTATCAAAAACTCGAAGTAGGATTAGCTAACGGTAATAATCAGAGAGAGAGGTTTGTTAGTGCAGTTCAACGAAAAGAATGAGAACGTGTTTGCGTGAGTTTCGCGGATTCTGTCGTTTTTTATGTGTTTTATATTTATGTAGTTGTGTTCCGCATACGCGCTGTCATTATGCGAGCCATACATACTACTGTTATAATTACCACCAGGAGAGAATGTAAACCAATTGGCTATAAGGCCTACATGTGCTACGTATAGGCCTACATACATTGCCTACGTATAGTGCTATAAGGCCTACATACAGATACTCGATGTCAATATGAGGCAGTCGTGTTCGGGCTCGTGTTATAAGACCTACACTTGCACACAATGTATACATGCGCGCAATGTTTATAAGGCCTACACATGCACGTAATAGTTACAAGGCCTACACATGGTAGCGGTAGTTATAAAGCCTACACATGCACCTTACATTCATAAGGCCTACATATGCCTCCCGCGGTTACAAGTCCTGCATTTTTACTTTGTTGCTAAGCGATCTAAGTCCACGTGCGGCAGTTACACACGTCATATACATTCTTGCTTTTATTTCAAGCCTCACACGCCTCCGTCATGATTAATCTGTCCTACAACTACGTGCATTTAAACATCGTGGGTATCTATTTATAAATTACGTAATTATTAAATTTATACAATCATTTTTTGTGTGGAAAAGTTTATGGTGTGTGTGTGTGTATGCGTGTGCGTGTGCGTGTGCGTGTGCGTGTGCTTGTGCGTGTGCGTGTGCGTGTGCGCGCAGTGTGCGCGCGCGTGTGTGTGTGAGCGGTGGATGTCATTAGCCATCACCAGTGATACATGGCTAATTTTACTAACGGTTCGTGGCTGCACCGGAAAACAAATAGAATAGATACGACATTTGCTATGCATGCCTGCTGCGTGTTTTGTAACATCATCCTCAAGGAAGTGTAGGCCTACTCACTCTATTAAAGCTGTTTATGATATATATATATACTAGTGATCACGAATGAGAAAGTAGAGCAGTGAGTAGCTATTCAGATTATTCAGTACTAAGATATATTGGCTCAACAGCCTAATACCCTGAACCATTATTACGAGAGAAGAAATCTCCAGGCGTAAATTATGGGCGCCTTTGATCCATTTAGTTTATGGAGAATCCCTGTCTGGAAATATCGCTAAATTATATCTGCATGTGTCGCGATGTTTAAACACACGGGGATGCGCCAGCACGTATCAGCGAACGAACATACATGTACCAGAAGAATTGTAACGCATTTGGAATTTAATTAACTTTAAGCTCTAATTAACGTAAGTCAAATTGAGATACGTTTCAGGGTTTTGGTCAATTACACAGCATTGTATTGATTTTCAAGACAGTCATGGAAGCTTAGGGAGCCTTTCATGTTCCTTCACACAATTTTACGATTTCTGTTGTCTGCAAATTTTAAAGAAAAAGTATTCCTACATTATTTCCACATCGATAACAATTAACAATTAAACCTAACCACGCGAAAGCTATCCATAAATTTTGGCCTGTTGGCTAAATATTAGAGTTAAATCTTGTGTTATTGATTAAGGCGGTTATTACACGGGTAATTCCATGAGCGTGCATCACCACACACAGAACCGATATCAAACGAGCAAAACAAAGCGAAGGTGATTGCATCATCCGTGTTTTTATTTTGTTTTTTGTTTGTTTTGCGTGCAGGATCCGGTAAGACGTCATTGCTAAACGTTCTTGCTGGAAGGATATCGCAGATCGAACGCGGAAGTATCTTCCTTGACGGCCACGTGTTGAATAAGACGCTCAAGCGGAAGATCGTCTACATTCTCCAGCAGGATATTTTCTTCACGAATCTCACCTTACGACAAACGCTCACGGTGCGTGCGCGCGCGCGCGCGCGCGTGTGTGTGTGTGTGTGTGTGTGTGTGTG